AGCACACCTCGGTTGTGTTGCTGAGTTATCGAAAATGTTATCCTAAACTGTTAAGTTGCCATAACGTGTGACCGTTAAAAATAGCATTTATGATACAGCACAGGGCTGATTGTCGTCCTGCCAGCTGACGAAAGCTGACAAAATCCACGCTACCTACAGTCATGATGAACAGAGAGGAGTACGGGCGGAAAATCCAAAACTTACTGGACCCAGTCGCGTACACGAAGCTCAAGAAAGACCCGACTTAAGCCAAGTTCAGGTACACCAACCGCCTGATCAAAATATCCTCAATATACGAGAACACCATGAAGAGGATGATTAAGGCAGAATGAATTACCGAAGGTTCACAAGGAAGGAATACGACTTAGACCAATCGTCAGTGCCTCGGGATCACCAACTTACGATATAGCAAAATATCTATCCTCTCTTCTGCAGCCACACTTTGGGTCCAAACATACATAAAATACTCCAAACATGTCATGAAAAAGGTCGAAAACTTCAGACTGGAACATACGGACATGCTGGTCAGTTTCGATGGATCTCTAGGCACAAAGGTACAGAACGTCCAAGGTGACGAATCCATAGAATTAGTGGTTGAGCTATTTGAAAAGAGTGCAACACATTTTTTCAAGGCTTGTCTAAACGGCAGCTACTTCCTGTGGAATGGAGAGTACTACGACCAAAAAGAAGAGGTTGCCATGGGAATCCCACTCAGCTCGGTGGTGGCGAGTCTCTTCATGGATTAGTTTGAGGAAATAGCGATGAGCACCGCACTCCTTAAACCAACGATCTGGTATCGATATGTCGGTGACACGTTTCTCCTATGGAATTAAACGAACAGCATCCAAAAATCAAATTCACCATGGAAGTTGAACAAAACCACCAACTGGCCTTCTTGGATGTTTCGGTGTCTAGGGAAGGTAATCATTTGGACCACAGGGTAGATCGAAAAGCCATCCACACGGACAGGTACCTTCACAAGCTATCTAACCACCACCAGAGTCAGAAGCAAGCAATCATCAACACTCCTACGGATAGAATCAGAAAAATATGTGGACCCCAACATTTAACCGCAGAACTACTGCACCTAAAAAAGCATTTCTTCAGAACGGATATTCCCAGTTGGACATCAAAAGAGCTGTAGGGGTGGGCCGTGCTGAAAGGAGTGAATCCACTCTAAAACCTTTCCTGCTCTTTGGTCCCAGTGTTACGGACATAATTGGGAGGCTCCTGAGGAAGCACAGCATAAGAACAATCTACAGGCCCACAACAAAGATACGATAATGTCTAGGGTCAGTTAAATACAGAAGATCYCCTCGCAACTGCAGGAATCTACAAAACTCCATGCTCCTGTGGCAGCGTATACATAGGAACTMTGGTTGCCACCCACTGGAACCCACTGGTTTTRACATGATAAATTGTTGCTCTTGTTTTCGATTCGAAAACGAAGCAGCTACCGATTGACAAAAATGTTAATATTTTTAAAATAATTATCAAATGAAACTAGCATGTAATACAATTGAACAAGCGTTACAAACAAATAGAAATTTATTGACACTTACTAA